GCCCGGGCTGAAGGTCAGGACCGGGCCGCTCGGTCCCCGCGGCCGCAGCGAGATCTCGGCGCTCGGCCCCGCCAGGCCGCCTCGTTGCCCCCGCTGAAGGCACCGGACTCGTGGAAGCGGCTCCGGGCGCCTGACATTGTGGGAAGGTCAGCGGGCCCGTGTGTCCGCCGCTTGGGCGAGGGGCTTCCTGGAGGCCTGGGGTTCCGCAGTGGTGTTTGTGCAAACACCCGTGCAAAGACATCGTGCAAAGACACCCGTGCGGCGGGGGGCCGATCGCGCGACGCCCGCGGAGCTGGCTTTGCAATTCAGAGAGGAGACGGCTCGGTCGGCGGCCCTGGCTGTGTGACTTGCCCACCTGGTATTTTGGGGAATTGCTAGACAGCCTGAAGGAAAAGGGGCCATCCGGGGGAAAAGGCCAGCCGAAAGGTCATTCGTCGTCCTTGGTGCCGTAGTAAGGTTGCAGATCAGAACAGAAACATTCTTACCTCGAGGCAGAGGAAGGAAAGGCTCACTTTTACTTATTAGTTACTGTTATTTGTTCACCTGAAAATGAAGCCAGGTTTGAAAGGTGAAAGAAAGGGGCCGTTGTGCTGCTGTTAGCATGTTGGTTTTCTAGGCCTCCTTTACCTGACCGCCCCTCCCACCCCCGTGGACTTTTGAGTGATTTTCATCCATAAGGCGGACATTCTGCCACCCTTAAGGTGGCCTGTTTTACTTGCAAGTTCTCAAACATCATACAATTCTCCAGGTATCAGAATGTGCCATTGGCAATTTGATGAAGCTAAGGCGGCGTTGGGTTAAACCTGATAGTTGTAGAAAGGCCTTTACTAAACATCCATCTCTGAAATATGCTTTTGCCCTAGGTCTCCAAAAATGCGTTTGGGGCCTCCTTCATTGCTGCACGGAACCTCCATGCATCTAAGGCTTGCCTGCAAAAGACTGGTAAGTCCTTCTGTCAGTTCAATGTTACTGTGAAGACAGAGGTCACAACCCCTACATGGCTGTTGTGGTTTTTTTCTTTAAAAAAAAAATGTTTTTTTGCTTGAAAAACCTTAATAACATTTATGTAGCACCTTTTACTACATTGTGTAAAGCATAAGCAGAAAAGAGATTTTTATCTCATAATTTCTAATCGCCTTTAATTCCCCCTTGTTTTTACTTACTGGAGAATATCCTATTCTTAAGCTGCCATATGACCTTTAACCCTGTGGCTTGGCAGGTTTGGTCTTTCATGCTAGTGAAAAATACAATGATTATTTTGACTACTAGTGTAGCTTCTTTGCCCTCATAATGTCCTTCAGGTTAAAAACGGAAAGTGCAGGGACCTTTTCAGATAGATCTATGAAAGGCTTTCCTCTTTGCTTCTTCCTAACAAGCTTTAAGAAAAGGGGAGCCCTTTTTACTGTTGGGATTTGCAGTGGCGATACCTGCTGCTCTACACTTGGCCATCTGGGTTTGTGCGTTTGTATATGTGAGCAGAATTGAGATGAGCAAGGTTTCTATTTTATTCATTTATTTAAATAAATGAATAGCAGCCACATGTCTGAGAATGAGGATCTTTGAGTCAAATATTGAGGTTTTTAACACAGGAAGATTTCTTTGAAATTAAGGATTAGACAGTGGAGTGTGTTTATATGGTGGGAGTCACTTAATTTATTAGTTCCTTGCCTGGTTTTTGTCTGGCTTGGGATGACCTCCCTTCCCCTCCCCAGTCATTTGAGCTTGATTTCACAGAAGTGCTCAGCTTGCTGGAGTGGATTTTGGTGCGTGTTACTGTGGTGTGTATTGGATTGCCTGTTGGGGAAAGTGGGGTTGAACATCTTGGCTCTGGATTACTGGTTTGATGGGCCGCTTTTCTCAATAGGCACCGCCGAGGTGTCCTCCATTCTGGAAGAGCGAATTCTTGGTGCTGACACCTCCGTTGACCTTGAAGAGACTGGACGGGTCCTGAGCATTGGTGATGGTATTGCTCGGGTACA